CCTGCGCTCTCCGCAAAGCCCCGCCCCCGTCCGGAATGAAGCCGCAGCTCCCTCTCGCAGCCCTTATTTATAATGCCATCGGCCCAAGCGTCCCCATTGGACAAGAAGGCACTGTGACGTCGCACCAGAGGTGCGAGCTCCCGAAAAGTGAGCCAAGTAGGTGATGCTACTGCTGCTGCCTCGCCGCCTTGGAAACCAGACCGGCTGCGGAGAGGCAGCGCGCTTTGGTGATTGGCGGCTGGGCTTTGCGGCAGCAGCCCCGTCGAGCCGCTAGGGGGCAGTGGTGAGCAGCGCGCGAGAGCGCCGAACGCTGTTAGGCGCAGACCCGCTCGCAATGGGCTGAGCTTCAAGTCCGACATGCAACAAAATGTTGCAGTGTACCATCGCTTCTGACGATGGGGTTTGGGGATCTGCTCTCCTCCGGATGTTGTTAGACTGCAGCTCTCCTCAGTAGCATGCCCGCAGAATACTCTCCCCGCAGAAAGCCACTGGATCCCCTTTTTATAGCCTCAAGGTGGTTGCTTAAGAATTTTTTTATTTCCCCATGTTATTATTGTCTTCCAATTAGGTTGACTTATTTTTCAGCTGCCTTTTGTTTATTGCTGATTTATTGTTTCGCCGTCTGTCATACTGTACGTTTTAGTCTATGGTTCGATTTATTGCATATGTTTATAAGCCTTGTAAGCTGTGTTGCGTATCTGTTGGTTTAAAAACCAGGATATAAATAAAAACACTATTACGACTGCTGAGAGTTGTTAGGAGTTCCCTATTTCCCTCACAGAGCTGCAATTCCCAGAGTTCTCTGGTAAGAAAAAGAATTGATTGCTAAACAGCTCTATGTATTCTAGCACTGTGAGGGGAATAATGGTTTCCTAACAACTCTCAGCACCCTTTGCAAACTTTCAAATCCCAGGATACTTTAGGAAAACTGTCCTGAGCTCTATGGATGAAGGGTAGTACAGTGGTACCTCAGGTTACATATGCTTCAGGTTACAGCTAACCCAGAAATAGTGCTTCAGGTTAAGAACTTTGCTTCAGGATAAGAACAGAAATTGGGCTCCGGTGGTGCGGCAGCAGCAGGAGGCCCCATTAGCTAAAGCGGTGCTTCAGGTTAAGAACAGTTTAAGGTTAAGAACAGACCTCCGGAACGAATTAAGTACTTAACCTGAGGTACCACTGTATACAGATTTACTAAATAGTAATAATAACAAGTCATGACTTTTAAAAGTGGTTGATAGTGCTTTTCAGATAAATGAAACATTTCAAAAGGATAAACAGAAAGGACTCTCTATGGAACCTTCAAAATTAGAAAAAGGCTTAATAAAACGCAAATAAGAAAACACTCTCTAATATGTATAAGCTCCTTCTTGACTGGGAGGTCAAGGAGGAGGAAGTGAAATGTGTTATGGCGCAGTGGGCTGGAGACTTTGGCTACAACATCCAGATGGAATCATGGGAGAGGCTGTGGAGGGAGGACCTCAAGTTCACAGCACGCTATGACTTGAAGGAGAACTGCATGAAGATGCTCTACAGATGGTATAAATGTATAAAACTAGATCAAACATCTGTTGGAGATGCGGGGAGGTGGAAGGCACCATGATCCACATGTGGTAAGGAACTGTAAGAAAATCAAGGATTTCTGGGAAACAATGTACAATGAAATTTTAAAAATGTTTAAATGCATCTTCCCAAAGAAGCCTTAAGCCTTCCTATTAGACATAATTAATAATGGAATCCCAAAAAGATTAAGGAAAATATTTATATATGTGCTAGTAGCAGCTAGGCTTGTTATTGCTAAAATATGGAAGGGGGACTCTGCGCCCACAAAGTTAGATTGGCAAAGTAAAATGTTAGAATATGCTGAACTAGCAAGATTAACAGCAAGATTCCGAGACCATACAGATCAAATATTCAACAGAGAGTGGAATATTTATAGAGATTACTTAAAAGAACATTGTAATATTACCAATTCATTGGCAAGCTTGGATTGAGTTTCTGCTTGAAAACAGGAGATTGTTACAGAACAAAAATGATAGAGAATTTAGGAGAGATAAAATTAAGTGTGTAGTGAAAGGGAACTTGGGAACCATGGGGGGCGGAAGTCACATTAGAATTAGTAAAGGATGAAATTAATTCTGTGTCTTTCTTTTGGGTACGTAAGGAGTGTTAATTTTGGATTTTTTTTGTTAATTGCTATATATTGTTTGATTTGGTTTTCTGTTTTGTTAAACCAATAAATCATTAATAATAATAATAATAATAATAATAATAATAATAACAATAATAATAATAAATAGTGCTTTATATGTATGGTGTTGATGTGGGCAAAATCTAACAGCAAGGAGAGGCAAGAAAACAGAATGGAATTGTTAGTCAGCGACTCATTGGCTGCCAACAGAAACTTGTCAGTATTTTGAGGGAGGGGTTCAAAGGCTTATTGGAAATTTAGGCTGTATGCATACTGGCAGTTTAAAACACAGCCAGGTTGCTTCCCCCTGCTGCATTTCAAGTTGCAATTTAACTTTGCTCTGTACACCAGAGAGAGAGGAGAGAGGCATGTCATCATCACCTGATGCAAATTACCTCATTTGTTTCCCTGTGACCTCCCAACTCCAAGGAAGCCGTCCTCCTCCAATGTGCAAGGGATCTCTCCGCTTAATGTCTCAAACTTCAGCTTACGTCAAAGCTTTTTTAAAATAAACAAACTTGTTGCAGCAGTCCGACACTAATCCTTGCCTTTCTCTGTGTCAAACCTCCCCTCCCCCAAATGCAATTTAAAGCAGGCCTCTTGCATTTGCAGTTTAAAATGGGAACAAAGCAAACTGAAAGAAAAGACTTTGGTCACTGGAATGTATTGCTTCCTTCTGAATATTATGTTACAGTTTATTTCCGTGTTGTCTGTCAGCCAACAAAGGTTTTGCACAGGAATACAGTACACTGAATTTCCGCAGTGCCCCTGGAATGCACTGAAGCGAGAATGGTCGCAATGTGCCTCCCATTGTACGTATCGCTCATTTAGTGCCACCTAGTGTTTATTTCATGCAGTGCTAGTTCGTTCCTGCCCATTAGGGCTGATGCGTCATGCACACTTGCATTACATCATTGATCCTAAATGGGCAGGCATAGGCAAACTCGGCCCTCCAGATGCTTTGGGACTACAACTCCCATCATCCCTAGCTAACAGGACCAGTGGTCAGGGATGATGGGAGTTGTAGTCCCAAAAACATCTGGAGGGCCGAGTTTGCCTATACCTGCTAAATGGGTGTCATTGTGCTAACAGATTGTACAGGTTTGAAGAGGAGCTCTCTCCCCACCCCCACTTGGTCTTGCCACACATTAAATCATTAAGTTAGCAATGTTTAATGTATTTTAAAGTTTATTGTAGGAGGGTAATATGTGGTTTATGTGGGGGAGCAACAGTTTTGTTTTTGGTGTGTGTGTGTGTGTGCGTGCGCACGTCTGTTCAGACTATCTCAAAGTGACTTTTTGTTGTATTTATAGGCTTTAAACAATAAAGTTGATTCAACTTTATTCATTCAGTAATTTGGCAGATGAAATAGGGCTTATGCCACCATACAGCTGTCAGCCTTTAAAGCATGGGTGTAGCCAGGATTTTTGTTGGGGGGGCAGGACTTTTGTCAGAGGGGGAAGAACCAATGTGATCGGTTAGTTAAGAGTATTTCTATTGTTTTACTTGATGGGGGGGCAGCTGCCCATGCTTTAAAGTGTTATAAGACCCATTTCATATTTTTGAATAAGGACTTGGTGGCCCTCTTAGATCGTACGCTGCTGGGTTTTACTTAATAGAAATCTAAGAACTGTTACTTCTCTCCTTCAGTAGGACTCCTGTCCTTTGTCTCTAACAGCAGAATAGCAAGCAGATATTCCACTACAGTATTTTCAATTTGCTTACCAAAGGAGAAAGCTGTACCTGTTGAACTACCCAGATCTGCATTTATATATACAGTGGTACCTCTGGATGCGAATGGGATCCTTTCCGGAGCCCCGTTCACATCCTGAATTGAACGCAACCCGCGCCTGCGAATTGCCACTTCCACGCATGACGTCATTTTGAGTGCGCATGCGCGAGCGGCAAAACCCAGAAGTAACATGTTCTGTTACTTCCAGGTCGCCGTGGAGCTTAACCTAAAAATGCTCAACCAGAAGCTACTGCAACCTGAGGTATGACTGTACTCTCTCTCTCTCTCTGTAGCACAGGAACCTCTGGCAGCTGGAGGGAAATGGTGGGAAGGTCTCTTGGTTGATATTGTGGACTGGTGGGCATTCCATGCCTGGCCAGATATCGCTGGACTTGGTTAGAGCTGATAACACCACGGTTGCCAGCTCAATCCCTGTATGGGACAGCTGCATATTCCTGCACTGCAGGGCTGGACTACTAGATGATCCTCAGGGTCCCAACTCTACAATTCTTCTATGACTCCAGCCCCATCGTCTCTGACGATGCTTGCCGGGGGTGATGGAAGCTGGACTCCAGCAACGCTTACAGCAGGGTCAGCAAGTTTTTTTCCGCAGAGGGCCGGTCCACTGTCCCTCAGACCTTGTGGGAGGCCGGACTTTATTTTTTGGGGGGATGAACGAATTCCTACGCCCCACAAATAACCTAGAGATGCATTTTAAATAAAAGCACACATGCGTATTCCCGGACCGTCCGCGGGCCGGATTTAGAAGGCGATTGGGCCGGATCCAGCCCCCGGGCCTTAGTTTGCCTACCTATGGCTTAGAGGGCCCCAGGGCCCCCTTCCCCTATGTTTTGGGTTGTGGGAACGCTCAGCCAGGAACTAGTACGGCAGAAAGGCGTGACCTTATCCTCGGAGTAAAGCCCCGTCGAGCACAGCGAAGCTCCCGTCGGGCTTCAGCTCGCACGAAACCTACACGAAGACTGTGCTCGCAGCGCCCTCTGGCGGCCGCCGCAGGGGCAAACCGCGGCTTGCGCGCCCGCCTTGTGCCTGGCTTTCCGGGCGCAAGCTCCGCCTGGAAGGAGGGCGGTCCTGGGCCGGGCGAGCCGGGCTCTTCCGCTTCCCTCCGCGCACTCAGGAAGGTTTTGGAGGCCGCGGGAAGGAAGCCGGGACAGCAGCGCGCTCGGCCAGGAGAGGAGCCTGAGAGCGGACGCCCACGAGGGTCGGAAGGAGTCCTGCCGTCTGCTGTACTGGTGGGTTGTTGCCACGTGGGGATGGGGACGGGTTATGGCCAAGTCTACACGTGCAGCGGCCAGAGGTGGTTAGCAACGTTTCCGAATGCTGCCGGAGCAGAGAGAGCAGGCCGGGATTGAGCACGTCTCTTTAACAGGGAAGGTTGGGCTTCGTTTTTGTTTAACTTGCGGAGAGGTGCTTTTTTTCCTTTTACGCTCAAGGAAGCTTTCAAAGAGGCTCATCTCAGCTGCAACCCGAAGGAGTCCTTGCATTTTAGATTCTCGGAAGTGATTTAGTGCAGGGATGCTCATGATTTCACTGTGGGTAGATCTACCTATCAGGGCCAGGAATAAAGAGCAGGGTGCGCGGCACCGTATTCTGAGTCTAGACTTCTGTTTTCCGTTCCAAACCCGAACGAAGATCTTTTTACATAAAAAAGTCCACTCCTGGTTAGCTTTCTGCAGTTCAGCAACATATTTTCTGTGGGGAAAGCCATTATGTTTCTGCTGCTGAAAAATTGGGAGTCAGAAATTCTTGATAAGCTATTGCAAATTACCCAGCGATCTCCCAGTAGATACTAATCCGTGGGTAGGCAAACTAAGGCCCGGGGGCCGGATCCGGCCCAATCGCCTTCTAAATCCGGCCCGCGGACGGTCCGGGAATCAGCATGTTTTTACATGTGTCCTTTTATTAAAAATGTATCTCTGGGTTATTTGTGGGGCCTGCCTGGTGTTTTTACATGAGTGGAATGTGTGCTTTTATTTAAAATGCATCTCTGGGTTATTTGTGGGGCATAGGAATCGTTCATTCTCACCCCCCCCCCAAAATATAGTCCGGCCTCCCACAAGGTCTGAGGGACAGTGAACCGGCCGGCTGCTGAAAAAGTTTGCTGACCCCTCTTCTGTCCACTCCTTGAACTAGTGCAGTCCCCTATTTAGGTGCAACCAGTTTGCCTTGTAGCCTCTATCTCAAGTGCAAGCGACAGATGTTGAGCAAACAAGCAGCCTTCCTAAACCTACTGTTTAGGTATTCTCATCACTTTTTGTGTATTATCCTTTATATGTTTTTAGCTTCCTGTTTACCCATGTTTGTTTCAATTTTCGTCAGCTGCTGTAAGTCCTGCTTCTGGGAAGAAAAAAGCAGGGTTTAAATAAGTAAAGTTGCTGATAGAACAGACATGGTTTAACACCGAGAGATGTTGCACTGATGCATTGAGACAGGAGTCAGATATACAGACGGGTTGTGACATGTCTTCTTGAGAGAGACAAGGGAAGCTTAAATATTGAACTTGATTAGATAGTGCACATCATTGGCAGAGTCCAGGGTAGTGTTTTGTTGTTTTCATTCATTTGAATGCGGCTAGTCCAGGGAACCCCCTCCTGGCAGATTGTAGCCTATATGCAGAGATCTCATGAAATGCAGAAATCGAACTGAATTCACAGATCAGAGAGCCCAGTAGAAAGACACATTTCTGAGGTTTCTCTAGGAACACTCTTTTTAAAATTTAGGATTTAAATATCCTTCTAAACAATACTAGCTTTTCCTCCTAGACTTTTCATTGTTCTAGTATATCATCTGTTATTTCCAAAATATAATTCCAAAATATTTCAGCATCAAATAGAAACACATTTGTCGCTTACAACTTTTAGATCCTGGTTGCAAATTTTTGCAGACTCCCCTTTTTGTATGGCTAAGCGTGTAGCGTTGGATATAAGCAACCATGCTTTGTGCAAATGACCAGTTTAATTTGCATTTTCAAGGCTAGAAGTTAAGAACCTAGCAGTGCCAAACATGTTAGAAAAATATATATTAAAGAAGCAAGAATGCGTTGGGATGGGGGATGCATGCCTATAGATGTTGTGTATATCTCTGGTTTAGTTTGCATAATTTTTTGCTGCTTTTTCATTCGCAGCTCAAGTTGGCAAACCATACCAAGAGCATCAAAGATGTCCCTTCAGGCAGCAAAGGGATCGTCAGCCCGTAAATCGAAGCAAATGACTGTAAAGACATCTTTGAGCAACCCGTATACTCTGCAGTGGAGCCCTGTGGATGGAGCAGACATGCACTACATATTGGAGGCCTTAGGAGATGTTATGAAACAGACTGGGTTAGAAAAGGTAGAGACTCGGAGAAGGAAGAAACCCTTTTCTGGAAAGAAGCAGGAGAAAGAACAATGCAATGGCCAGACCAGCAGACTTCAAGACGAGAATTGCTCTGGAGATGCTAAAGCACATGGGTGGACAAACTTGCAAATCAGGAACCAACTCGCTATCGGGATCAATGAAGTAACAAGAGCGCTGGAAAAAAATGAGTTGCTTCTGGTGCTTGTGTGCAAGTCTGCCAAACCTGCTATGCTAACGTCTCACCTTATTCTGCTCTGTGCAAGCCGGGCCACTCCAGCCGGCCAGGTCCCACGTCTCAGTGAAAGCCTCGCACCGGTCCTCGGGTTAACGTCCGTCCTAGCCCTGGGATTTAAAAAGGACACTGACGCTTTTGCAGAGGTAGCCAAAACCATTATCCCGCGAATACCACATTTGGATGTGCCCTGGATTCGGCACGGAACAGAACGTTTGCTGGCCACTGAAGATGCTCATCCGGCGAACTTGCAGGCGGGTGAGGGCACAGAGTCAGACCCGGAAGAGCGCTCTCCCAACCACAAGCGGAAAAGAGCAGATTGCAGCAGGCGTGCCTCTCCTGCTACAGCCCTGCAAGCACTCAAGGTTAAAAAAATAGTACCCAATCCAAACAAGCGAAGGAAGCTTCCCAAAACTAAAAAGCGCATTTCAAAGTAATCAATTATATTGGCTTGTTCCCACATTTCTTATTTGCCTGTGTGTGTGTGTGTGTGTGTGTGTGTAGCCAGTAAAAGCTATGTAGCATTAACTAGGCTTGCAGTTAAGAATATATACCAACATTACAAAATTCATATTTGTGGCAAGATATTCAAGCTAATAGCTTGGTACTGGACACATGTCATTTCAGAAAATCTAAAAGTGCTTGGAACAAAGCCTTTTTCTGGATTAAATGTAATTCAAAACAAAAGAGTATGGAAGTGATAACGTTTATTCAAACATCCATCTGTGCTGATAGATTCAATCGCTAGTAATCTCTTTAAGATGCCGGAATCACAAAACATCTGCAAATTTGATAGCACAATGTTATCCTTTGGACACTTGCATTTGGTCAAATAATGCATGCAGAACTGACCCCAGGTGCATTTGGCCTTTAAGAGAGGAGTATTTTCTTTAGCATGTCAATCAGCCCAAATATCTGCAAGAAGAAAAGCACTTCAGATTTGGATTTTGGGGTGCAGGTCACAACTGATCTTGCAGATCCCACAATGCAGATTTCCTAAACAGAGGTTACAGCCTTGCCACGTTCAGTTTAACAGCATGCTATTGAATCTAAAAACTAAAAATGCCCCTAAACAGCTAAAACGGGGGTGCAACTTAAAATGGCTGCTCAGAGGAAACTTGTTTCAATCAGCTGCTATTAATATATTAATACTGAAAACAGGCAAGTTGTAGGGGCAGTAAGGAGGCGGCAGCAGCAGCAGCAAGAACTGGATATAGGATGTGTAGTTAAATTATTACCTATTTAGTCAGGTGCAAAACTTTGTGCTTGCAGTAGTTTGTGCTTAAAGGGTTATGGAAAGGCGAAATCACCACATGTCTACACCAACTGTGCTTTGCTTTCTTACATTTCCAGCACAAATATTTAATTTGTTGTAATTTTATGACATTTCTATTCTGCCTTTCCTCTGCCATGGAAACCTAGGTGGTTCCCTAGTGGTCACTCATCCAAGCACTGACTGGACCTGCTTGGCTCCAGCAATTTATTGGATAATAATTGGGAAGATTGTTCTTAGTTGTCTAGTGAAGGAGAAAAACGAAGGGTTATTAATCTTACGAAGTCTTGCGTAGTTCTGAGGCTTTCCTCACTCCTACTTCCACACTAATTTCAGCTATTCAGTGCTATTTTAATGCCCCCCTCACACACACTTGTTTAACCAGTCATGTAAACTTATCCAGATCACTACTGAACATCTTCACCTTTAATTGAATCATGGTGCATTAAATTGAAAGCTTAGAGAAGCGTGGACTCATTTACAAGAGCCGTTCAACCTATACCAACTCACTGAGAAATCAATCTGGGGGGAGTCTAGCTTGGGAAATACCTTCGTTTCAAGCAAGCAATGTCTATGCATGGCCTTTGCTTTTTTTTTTAGGCTGGTTGCCATTATTAGAGTTAAAGAACAAGGGTGGGTGGGTGGGAAATAGAAAGAGACACATTATGGCATATTAGTTAAGGCTGGTAACAACCAAAAAAGGTACTCGCAGGGTTCTGAACATTTGCTTATAATAAGCACAAGGGACAGAGAAATCCTTTGTTCCAAAATCCAGGATATACTACTGCTACTATAAGCAAATTTTACTTATTTACACAAACATACTTTTTGTTTAAAATGGACATTCCACCCCCTTTTTTTAAAAAAACAACAAGTAGACAAAAGGAATATGTGCAATTTTGCAAAAGCCTTGAACACATTCAGTCGTAACATCTTGATAACAGTACTAAAATTCTTAAGTTTTTTATGTACAGGCTGCTCATAACTCTGCCACCGAAAGAAACCCCGAAAGGTTTTCCTTCTTCATAGCTGCAAGATTAATAGAGTAATATATAATTCAGGCAACATATAAACACCCGCACTAAACAGTGCAATACTCTTGAAGTCAAGTCAGTGATCTACTGAAGATCGAAGTACAAATCTGTAATTTTTTTTATTTTATTGATTTGGCAGCATTGCTTATGGAGAAACAAATGCACTCGTCCAAGACCAGCGCATTTCCCGTACCACTCCACAGTTACAAAATACATCCAAGGTTTTCCATGTTTCCTAACAGACAGTCATAATACTCCCCAAGGATTTCCTCCTTCCGACGATGACATCCACGTGATGGAAAATAAGCAGAAACACTCAAAATCGGCTCCTTCATTTTGTTACATTGATAAATGTACACTACCACCACTTAATAAATAGAAATGCAGCAGTTCAGTCACATTAACAGTAAAGAATTTGTACTCTATTCCACCACTGCAATCGAGTTGGTTGTACAAAAAACAGTCTTTTACGCAGGGGAAGGGAAGGGGGGAAAAGAGAACCCTTTTCCATCAAGATGCGAGCTAAGCGTTGGAAATTAAAAGAAATGTGCTTTTATTTCGTTTCATCGACAAAACAGTAAAAGGTTCATGAGCTTTTTCTCTCTCTGGTCCGAGCTGAGCTGAAGGTGTGAAGGATTGGTCAGGCATGGGTCTCCTCACTTCCCCTCCGCGTGGCCCCAAGGTTCAAAGGATTATTTTTAAGTTCACCAGCCTTTGTGCTTCTCTCCTCTTGAACGGTACCGATCCAAGAGCTTCCATCAGCCCAGATGATTACTTCCGAGAACTATAAATACAAGTGTCCTTCCTCATTATTGTAATACAAGACCGACCTAGAAAGACAACAGCGGGTTTGTTAGTGCAGGTAAGCGTAACAAATAAAAACATTGGTAAGGAAATCTCCAGCCCATTGGCTTCATTAGGCCCAGCACAGGTGCCAAGTTGGCCCAGGAGACAGTTCTTCAGAAACCATTATTGCCTGCCCCACCCCACCTGTCGGGCAGGTATGGATGTGGCTACAAAGAAACCACCGGGAGCTCCTATTGGTTCCTTTGCAAGCGGAAATCCCTGTCAGCACCAATCAGCTGATCGGCACTGGCAGGGAGACCCATGGGGACTGGCTGCACTAGGGAGTTCTCCCTTGGGTTTCAATACAAACTGATTTGTACTGATGGAGTATGCCCCTTTAAAGGCATCAGGTGATTGGCACTGGGAGCTGGCCCTTAAAGGAGGTAGCTGTAAATGCACCCCATCTGATCAGTGGTTAAAGTGATCCTCTTTGAACGCAGGTGTCAATCACCTGACATCAGGTGAGTAACAGGGAGGCAGTCCATGAGGAGTGACGGATCCAGTTCCCCACCTGTTTTATGACTTAGCGCTAGAACGGGCTTTGTCAGACACACTTGTTGCTAATTTCTGGCCCTCCAGATGTTGCTGGACTCTTAACTCCCATCAGCCCCAGCCAGCATGGCCAATGGTTAGGGATGATTTTACATGTAGTCTAGTGACATCTGGTGAGCCACAGGTTAGCCTCCCCTGCCACAAGTTACAAAAAAGCAAAGTCACAGGGCATCTGGGTAATTCAAATCACTATACACAACTGAGCCTCTGTGAAATGTGTTACCTTTTCAGAGTCCATGCCAGGACACCTCCAGTTATACAAGTAATACTGCAAGTTGCCGTCTCCGATACCAAACTTCAGTTTTTCCAGGAATGTTTTGTTTTCCATCAAGTCTAGTGCATTGAACACATCAAATCCTTTCTGGCAATATGAGAAAAAAAATAATGATTTTTTTCTAGTGGCATTTGCATCAAGGTTACCTATGAAAGACTTGCAATATGTGGGTGTATTGCTAATCCCCTGTCCCTCGGAAGGTGATGGACTCTCCTCCCTTGGAGGTCTTAAAGCAGAGTCTTGGGTGGCCATCTGCCATGGATGCTTTAGCCGAGATTCTGCCATTGCAGGGGGTTGGACTAGATGATCATTGGTAGTCCCAACTCTACAATTCTCAGATTCTGTCTGAGAGCTGTTCCATACAACCCAAAGGCCTCCTGGGAGCTCAAGCCCATAAGCAGAGGCTGCCCTGTTCTCTCCAGGGCCAAGAGGTGTGTCACACCAGGAGTTGTGTTCTCCCAGCTCTCCTGGCCACGGAAGACTTGGGAGAGGCAACCTTGTTTTCTATATAAGCAGCCCAAGTGACCCGACGATGCCAGGGCTACTTACCAGCTTTGCTATAATGAGTGCATCGTTCATGAGATCCAAGAGAGGGGTTTCCGTATGAACATTGTAGAAGGAGTAGGCTGCTTTGAGGCTTTTGTGAACAGGGTGGTGCATGACCGTCGAAGGTAATGTGTAGAAACTCAGAAAGTCGGTTAAAACACCATTTGAACTCTAGGAAAGGAAGGGGAAGAAAAAGACACTACTGAGAAATCAAAGTGAAAAGACTCTACAGCACACTGGAGACGTAAGCAACTCAAGCTGGCTGGCAGAACTACAGGTCAAGAAAAACTACTGCAGCCAAGAGGTATTTGATGTGCTGAGAGTTTACAGCCAGCCAAATAAATACGGCCAGCAGCTCTGGCTTATTTTAGCCCTGTTAAACTTGTTTCAAAACAATCTCACACTGATCACGATCTATAATGCCATTACTTTAGGCCAGTGTTTCCCGAACTTGGGCTGCCAGCTGTTTTTTGGACTACAGTTCCCATCATCCCTGACAACTGGTCCTGCTAGCTAGGGATGATGGGAGTTGTAGTCTAGAAACAGCTGGAAACTCAAGTTTGGGAAACACTGCTTTAGGCCAAGGGTTGGCTAACCTGTGGCTTTCCAGATGTTGTTGGACTACAACTCCCATCATCCCTGACCACTGGCTATGCTGGCTTGGAACGATGGGATTTGGAGGGCCAAAGGTTCATGCAGCTAGAACAAAGATGCTGAATGTGCAGACTGTCCCCTTTATTACATTTATGTCTCATCTTTTTCCAAGGAGCTTAAGGTAGCACACACGGTATGCCACCCCATTTTAAACCTCATGACCACCCAGTGAGCTTCATGACTGAGTGGGGATTTGAACCAGGGTCTCCCCAGTCAGTGATCACGTTGGCTCTCACTTCGTTCTAGTGTTGCACTGCACAGCCAGCCATTTAAAAAGGCAGAGCAGCAGCCTGCATAGCACAGCCATCCGTTTTAACAGCAGCGTCAATCCATGCTGAGTTGTATCATATATTGCAAAAGAGTAATCTCAATTGTATGAGTATCAGTCAAATTGGCACCTCAACACACAAGGAGGTATCCACATGCTTGGGGGGACCCCAAGTTTTGCATACGTATGAAAAACCCAAGCAGGCACCCCTGCAAACAGTCCAGTGAGAAGTAAATATGCTTAGTGGACATGTAACTCCGTAGAATGAAATACCTGGAATCCTCAACATGACTATTCTACACTGCAACATTTTGTTGCAGATCCCAGATACATTGTGCATATTTATCCTTATTTAAACAAAAGAAGAAGCGCTCCCAATTCCAAGTGGTAGAAGTAATCGTGATTCTTATCAGGCCAACGGAGGCCAATCTGAAATCACCCAAGTTTTAGTACAGGATTATCCAGTTTTACTTCAAAGGAGAGAAGTTACTATTGCCCAGCTAGGACATAATGCTAAATCATAGTTTAAAAGTTTTACATGCACAAGCAGCAGCAAATATTGGGATTGCACACTCCTCCTGCCATGGTGAGAAATCAGAAGCCCCTGCTTTAGTGTCTCTCAATTACATCTACACTTGGGGAATTACAGTTTGATACGGGCTTCTTTGAACAGTCCATAGTTTAATCAAGTTCAGGTGTAAAAAGAAACTATTTAGTTTAAAAGCAAAAGTGGATGCTTCTGATATCCACACAGCTGTGCTGGAAAGTCTGAGCTTGAGGCTCACTGCTGTTTGTGCCCATAACAAAACTGGGTTTTAATGTTGCACCTGAAAAGGACCACTGCCGGTTTTCTGGGTGAGACTTTATTATTTATTTTGAACAATTCAACACTGTCTTCCAGAACAAAGAGTTCACAAGTCAGCTGACAACCAGCAACTTAAAAATAATAGATTAAAATGGAGATACAGGAGTTCCTAACGTAAGGGAAGAGCTTCTCACAGGCATCAGGTCCATCACTGTGGAGAAATGGATGATGGACTAGATTGGCTTTTGGTCTGATGCAGCTGGGCTTTTCTGACATTCTCGATGGAGGCAGGGAACAGACTCTCTCTTACCTCTACAACAAAGGTATCAATAATGTGATCCTGAGGCAGGAACCAGTGGGCCACTTCTTCTTCGTCCATAACAGGAGCAAGGTTAAACTGTTTCAAGTAATTGTTGATTAATTCTTGCACCGCTTTAATGTCTTTTCGTTCCATTGGTCTCAAACCTGAAGTTTTTGTGGCC